TCCCCACTAACCTCCCCCCCCCATCAACAGCCGTAGGAATGCAGTGGGCAAGACACGTGTGCTGTGAGCATTGCCCGCTGTCCAAACCTCTTGTGTCCACTGACAAAGGAGAGAGAGAGAGAACTAGCTACTTAGCTAGCTTTCGTTCGTTTGTTACCACTGACACATCCTAAACCCCTCCCCCCACACCCCACCTATCAAGACATCGTGAACGATAACGCTGGCGATAAACAACGAGGAAATCTCTAGCAAGTGCTGATGACTCCGGCAGTGCCTTGAGAATCTCTCACCGGAGACAGACTGACCTGACCTGACTTTTACGAGACGTGAACAAAGTCTCGTCTGAGACGAGAAATTAAGCTCTCCGGTGAACCCTTCACGGTAGACACAATTATGATAATCATTAGACAAGTTTAGATTTAAAAAGGACATAGGAAAGTATTGGTTTGGAAATAGGATAGTTAATGACTGGAAAAGTCTAACTAGTTGGGTTATTGAGGCTAAAACCTTGGGTAGTTTCAAATTTAGGTTGGATAAATACATGAGTGAGAGGGGTTGATTTGAGTGGGACTTGCAAATGAGTGGATAGAGTTATCAGAGTTTATTTCTTGGGTAGCATTGAAAATTAGGTTGGGTAAATGTATGTTAGTGGGATGCATTGTAAAGGACCTGCCTAGTATGGGCCAACAGGCCTGCTGCAGTGATCCTCCTTATGTTCTTATAGCAATAATCATCCTAATCTGAATAGTAATTATAACAATCATAACTATCATCGTACTTACATTCATAACCCATAATATTAATTATAATACATTAATGGTAATAATTCTATTAATTAATCAACCATAATAATCATAATTTTAATTATAATGTAATAAATAGGTCCCAGAGGACGACACACTATGGCTAGTTAGCCTATCCAGTATAGACTCCAGTAGAGTCTATCCACTACTGGATAGACTAATACGTCTATCCAGTAGTAGACAGATGAATCGTTATATCCAGATGTTCCTGGAGATTCTCCCGTCTGAGATCTACCTTCATTCCACGTGTAAACATCTGTAACCTGTATATAAATGGTATTAGGCACACGTGCAACATCTGGGTATCTCTACTGTAGACGTTTCGCCATCCAGTGCCTTTATCAGTACGCGGAAATATGAAGAATTATATACAAAAGATAAGGTATTTAGTCTTGACGAAACTCGATGGACTGTGCTTGATATATATATATATATATTATATATATATGTCGTGCTGAATAGGTAAAATTGGTCAATTAGAAAGAACTCATTTAAAATTAAGTCCTTTCTAAATTTTCTCTTATATGTTTAAAGATATATTTTTTTCATTTATGTTAATGTAAAAATTAATAATTTTGTATCAAAAGAACCTTAGAAAACTTACCTAACCTTATTATAACAAGCGTAATTTAATTTAGCTTAATACAACTAAATATATTTTAGATAAGTTTATAA